GCATGCGGAACCAAACGAATGATATACATATTTACTTGTTTGTATTGTTTAGTTCTCAGCTAATAAAAATGGCATTGATTAGCCTGAACAAATACAAAAATGGAATGTTTGTCATTAACGCTGCATTGTCCATCGGGGTGATAATTGGTCGATACCGCACTTTAAATTGCTTTTCCTAACGCGCATCTTTCATATTCGATAGCCTGGAACAAATGGATGACTTTCATCATATCAATATTTGTACGATGGTGAAATACATACACCTTTTTAGGTCATCGCATTGATTGGCATAAGGCATGCAAATTTAGTTAAATCAATTGAGCATTTATTACGTCATTGACATGTGTTCGGATTGCAGTACTCCGTCAGACCCGGGCAAAGGGAAGATCGAGCAATGCATTTCTCGGCTGTATAACTGAGAACTAAAATAAAACAAAGCAAACTGAAGTGTCTAAACTCCCGGAATACTCAGTTGTATATCTTGGTGTTTGTATTTTCTGGACTTACTTGGATAATAAACCCAGTTTACCTGAATCTGTTTTATGAGTACATTTGTCATATATCTCGCACTGCTTCAGGGATGTTTCACCTATTGCCATTTCTGATACGTCTGTGCCTGATATACCTACGGGCAGTTTATTAAGCTAAGCCTAAATTACACACTCATGATCCAGTTAAGCAAGCGGATTCGAAAAAGACCGCACTGAAGGGGTAATGATCAATCCTGACGCATTCTATTACATAACTCTTGTGCATCAAGGTCAGACAGAAGATGAATTTCGCCAGAAAAAAATGCGTATCAAATTTTCTAGAAGATCCTGGACACAGCTGGCTCCAGTATTAAGTTTCTTCTGAATTTGCAGGCTAGACTTTAAAGCACCGCCCATATTATCAGACCGACATTAGGTTCTGTGACTCAATACTTGGGACAAATAGTATTCCTAAGAAATTTAAATTGTGAAACGCTCTCTCTCCCCATTGTATAAATCTGGAGCAATGGTCATTTATCTATCAGAGTGCAAGCCGTAATGTTAGAAGCGATACTTTAATTAACGAACCACAAAATAGTTTGTTTTTGTTGCTCACCATTGTAATGTCATGAACCGTCCGTGATGCGATTCACGAACGGTCAAATTGGTCAATTCTCTCTCTCGCTTTCGTTCTGTCGGTATCCAGGCTGAATCCGCGGCAAACCGCATTTCCAAGGTGTTGCAATCAAGTCAAGAGAATGAAAAACTAATGGAACAATATGAGGGTTTGGCGTCGGACTTGCTCAAATGGATCAATAAGCAAGTACTCTTCCTAAAGGTAAGAACTCCCAACCAAGTGCATACTCTATTTATTCCTAACCCTACTTCATTATTACTTGTGGAACAAATAAAATTGGGACAGAGTTGGGGACAAAATCGTTTTCAAATATTCGTATTCATGCCAATACTCTTCAATATGTATATATACCACTACTTGGTAATAAAATTGTCTTGGGAAATGATTTCATTGTGAGACCGGAAATCGGATTCACCACGGTCACATATTTGTTTGTCCACTCATCCGATTTTCGAGATTACTTGTGATGCAGTGTGTGTGGGGGTGAGGGGGGGGGGTGTTGGTGGTGCAGGGGATCTTTAGTGCTTGCACAAATTATTTTTGCGCACATAGAGGGTGGGCGAGGCGGTGGGGTGGTGGTGTTGTGCAGACGAATGCTCATCGCTCTTGCTGTAACCAGCATCCGGGAGCAAACCTGTCTCGATAATCACCCACGAAGTTTGTGCACGGAATTCGAAGGAGATCGACATGATCAAGTGTGTGACGTTGAAATCCAAAACAGTGCGCTGGTGAAACAATAAAAGAATTTCCCGAATTATCAGCGAGACACAGGATACACAGTACCTAGTACTAAAGAACTTTGAAGAATGGCCGTACGAGCTAATGCTTCATCAAGTCTCAGTTTGAAAGATTCAATGCTTGGTGCCTAGGCGATGTGTAGGNNNTTTTGAGAACACTAGTCCGAACGCCTGTCCTCTGAGCTGAACGTTGGGTGATAATTTTGGCAGCGAGCGACATGGATGTCTTGAATTTTTTGTCAGGGGCACATACGACTTAAGAAAAACGATCAGCAGGTGTGGGGAATACCACTCTACTAACCGGACTTCATATCTTTATCTTCTAACCTAAAAATGACTTCGAGATGAATTCATGCGAAATCGAAGGAAAAAAGTCACGCTCTGGTTGAACTGTATTTTCGATTACTGGGTAAATCCCTGGGCTAGGGTAAGTGCAGAACCTGGTGCTTTACTGGTGAATAACCATTTATCTAGTTTCGCTATGGGACAGAAAACAGCATCAGCACCCCATCTTAGTCCGCGTGGCGAAGAACACATATGCACCTGCAAAATGGACCCAGCAGGACTGCAGTCACATATAGCAGAACATCCTAATTTACTAAGAGGGAGTTTGCGATTGGCAAATGTGCTTCATCGTCCAATCTATAAAAATAACCCTTTTTCCAAAATGAATGAATAAATTTCACAACAGCCCTCAATTTGGAACAAGCTGCATTCCATAATTGCTAACAGACCCAAGGGGAATATCTAAATGATGATTAACCGATTTCATCTTTTTGCCCAATGAACAAAACCACACACTGGACCCAAGAAGACCTAGCACTCGCAATGAAACGCTAATTGCTCTATCCAAGTGAGATATAATTATTCTGAAGCCCCATCTGAACTAATCTCAAATATGAACTGATCCAATGCGAATTACAGAAATTTGGAAATTATGCGTAACTCTATTACCAAAACATTTAAACACTAATCAATGCAATCACTTCATCATCCTCGATTTTCTTCTGTTCTTATTTGATCAGTTTTCATTAGATAATAATTTCCATCCCAACTTCACTTGTTCCCGGTTCTTTCTAGGTGTAGGAATCACTATTCGTTCTATTTGAATGTCACAGGAAGAATAGGGTTCACTGTCCCTTCTTCTTTTATAAACTGGTATTATGCGAAAAAGTACACTGAATCGTTGCGTTTTCCTCTCAGATAGACAGTGACAGGACAGGGATATGGAAACCGAGTTCAACCAGTTTGTCATATGAACCAGGTGAACAGTTCTAAATCATCCGGATCGCGTATTCGATCTCTACCTCGCTGCCTCAGATCTTTTGAAAGAACCGCCTCTTTGTTCATCTTTTGTTGAGGAAGATTTGAGATTGCCTCCATGCCGGAGTGAATTTAGTCCTACTTGGAAATTTCTGTGTTGACCAACGTGGCCGGTTAAGAACACAACTAAGATATTTCGAATCCCCAAAACGATCACAGAGTGCTCAGTCCGAGTCGAAACTGCTAATGGGATTTGCCACTTCGGTCCGGTCCGACATGTTTGATTCTATGCAAACGAATTAATACAACCTTTATTTTTTGCCTGGGAGCTGTTTGTTGTGTGCGTGCATTAAATCCTTCCCATTGCATGCACTTCAATCCGGTCGGGACGAAAGAGGTCAGGATGTGGCTAGATCCACCGACCATAGAAAGCAAACAACCATCAGAGTACAAAAATAGTAAACACTGCGTGTTACACGTTGAAGGAAGAAAAACAGTTGATGGAGAGTCGTATACTAAGTAGGTAGACATGTCAGGTGAGACAGCTACAGACGTGACTGCAATTTGTTTTTGTTAATGTGTACAACTAACATTTTGAGTTGAAGATGTCCTGTCGGCTGGTACTTTATGACACGGTTCTTGAAGTTGTTTAAGGGAATAGAAAATAGCACGACAAATGAAGCGAGTTGATCAAAAAGCAAAGATATAACTAGCCCCCCCACATAAACTAATTCGGGAAGAGATAGATTTGTGGAGATCCTGGTCAACCACGGTCAATAAGTCAGAAGTAAAGATAATCGGCCGCGACCAGTTTGTCAATCAGTTCATTAAACTATGAGGTAATTTTCGGGTGAATGAGGTTGCGCTCGGGTAATTTGTTTGACATTCAGTGACAAATGTTCTGACATACAATTCACCTAGTTGCATTAAACTTTTAACATACACACAGATGGTTCTATATTCATCCTATTCCAGATGATTCTTTTATTTGTGATGACATGCTTTTGACCAGTCCCATCTGATATGCATCATCACAAGACTGTGAAACACAAATCGCTACTCTACATTGCATGCTTTATATAAGAAACATCTTAAAGCACCCGTTTTGCATTATTTTAACGGCGTGGAGAGTGGTGCGGTTGCCATTGACATTTATCCGCATCACTCTCGGGATAAGTAGGCTGAAATAATGTCAAATTTTACACGGTTGTTTCTATATTCGTCTGAATAGGATTGCCATATTTGTTCAACAACTACTGAACCTATCCTTGTCTGTTTTTATTTTCAATCGTTTATGTCCCATGTCTGATGAATAATACACGATTACTCTGTTTTGTTTAAGTGCTCCAATGTTCGATTCTTCTTTGGGCCGCCTGCTTTCGTTCTTATTTGATTAAAACTGAAATCGATGCGTCGTTCTCCGTTGAGTTCGTTCCAATGCGTATTGATCCTGTGGTCTTCTGTGGCGGTATGGGTCTCAATGTTCTCACTCTCTCTTCTTTATTCACATTTACCTATTCCGACTATTGTATAACGTTTTGTGTGACGGTCGTTCAGCGCGCATTGGACCACTGTCCTGTCATTGTTGGGATTCGACAGCGATCCGGTGTTATGCATTGTTCGATTTAAGCACCTAAGTTGGTTCATTTTGTGTTCAATAGTGCAACAATGAAACGAAGACAGTCCTATTGGTGTGTCCTTAATCTTACGCTGGGTGAATGCGGTGATACGGACAATCGGATGATCCAGAATATGTCTCTGTTCGTTTGTTTTCATATCCATCTATTAGTGAATTTTCTCATTGAGGAGTTGTTTTTTAGAACTCAGGTCTAATTTTGGATTCATCAGCATTATTTTGCACGATAGCTAACCGTTATTGTCTTTGTCCCATGAGGTCGTACTTAAGCGACTCTCGAAAGGGCTTCCCATGCAGTTGTGAAATGGCCCGACACAACTCACCTAACAATGCATATTGTTGTATCTAACTGAAGTGGGGAAAGGAATGCTTCCCCAGGTAATTGAAGCGAAACAGTTTGCAAACTTTGCACACGCGAATCAAATTGATCGTGGATCACACACACACACACAGAGGATAAGTGACTTGAATCGTTCAGACCAAGTCCAATCGCACAGCGAAAATCAAATCGATTGAAATATTTTTTTGACTGGTTACACAATGTTTCGACATTGGCTAATAGTCTTTATAGTACTTCTGAATTCCACTCGCTGATTGCCATCGGTGGATCGATGCAAGAGGCGGATGTTAGTGGAACCTGCAAAAAACAGATAATCAAAATGTACCCTCCCAACTCCCGGTTTGTCATGACTGATTTGATGCCGATGGCGACGGAAACGGCCGCATTCCCGCCGTCCTTCTGATCTGATCCGATTAGGAAGCCAACGAGTGTTTTGAATTTCGGTCCCTCATTCACGGTTCAACGTGGGACACTGACGCTTGTGTTGCACGCGAGCGCGCGTAGAGAAATCTTTCACAGGTTTTTGTTGCACACCGTCGAACAAAATTGTTTCTCGCTCTTCTTATTTTTTCTTCATGCCATTCAATCAACCTTTGTTGTTTTTACTATGTTTGGTCAAATGAAATGCACCGATCAACTGTTCGAATAACGAGAAAACCAGTCGATTCTCGCAACACGTCCGGATAAAGGAGAAGGCATTGTAATAATGAGCAGAGGAGATGAAAGAACTATTGAAAGACAAAATGGAATGTAGCACAAAAGAAGATGAAAAAGACAAAACCATGGATATAGATAAACACATAAGTAAAGTAGCCCAAACTGTGATGATAGACTCTGCAACATTTGAAAAAAATAAAACCTTTAGGATATCATTCCGAGACTCTATGGACTACCTAAGTTGCATAACCGGACGTTCCTATGCGGCCCATTCTTGATATGTCCGCTTCACGTTACCAATCGATCATTTATTGGTTGGCCGCTCTACTCGAACCTATTAGGCAGAAGTTATCACCACACACCTTACTAGACTCTTAAGTTTGTTGAACGTGAAAAATCAACAGATGTTTTCATTAAACGTGAACTCCCTGTTCACAAATATCCCTCTCGCAGAATCCGTAGACTACATTCATGACTTCTCCAATAACTCTATCAACATAGGTATATCAGTCAATGTCTATAGATAACTTTTACGTTTTGCAACGAAAACGTACAATTCCAGTTCGATGGTACGATTTATGGGCAGAAGAATGACATGCGATGGGATTTCTGCTTGGTCCACTACTCGCAGATATATTCATGGCTAAGACTGACAGAAGTACCCTATAACCCGTCATTATACGGATGAATATGTACCACCATTGTTGTTGGTGTATTCTGTTTGGTACCTTCAAACATTGAGATGAACCAGATCCTGCGAACGCTTACTGAATCTCAGCGAAATCTCCAATTCACCATAGAGCTAGCGAATAAGGATTCACTCCCGTTTCTGAATGTGCTTTTAATGAGGAACTCAAATGAGGGGATCGAGAGAGTTGTAAATCACAAGCCTACATGGGTTTAAACACCTAATGGAAATTGATAAGCGAAGTCTTTGTAATTTTTTCCCATAATAAAAATTTTTAGAGCTCCATGCCAGTGCAACAGAAATTTAGTGAGTCGTTGGGTCCATAGAGCCAGACTGATCTGCTCCGCCAACAATCTTCCAGACGAACTGCTTCTGATAGGCAACACTTTAAGAGAAAATGACTATACATAAAGTTCCATCAAAAAAGTGCACTGCAACTGATTCTCAGCCTTCTTGTGTTTACGCAACGAATAATTTCAAGGGTGATAGGCTAGCTAAAATGCTTACTCGTCGATTATCCCAAGACACTGAAAGAAACTCACTTTACTACTAAGCTCTGTCTGTTATTTAATATAGTCTAAGTTGCAGTCACAACTCAAAGACAAGTTACCTAGTCAGTCTTGCTCATTTTGTGTCGAATGTTGTTCGTGCTCCTGTGGAGCGGCATACGTAGGAAGGAGCAATAGGCGATTGTCAAATAGGATTGAAGAATATTATCAAAAGAGATCAATAAAGATGCAACTAGCACCATCCCAACTCACGCACTCAGTACGGCTCACGAAATGATGCGATGATGGGGGCATTCAAGATCATCTACCAGGTGGCTTATAATCGATCAAGAGGGCTGAGATAGAATCCTGCCCACCGTGGAGGCAGTCGCAATCAGACTAAACCACCCAATACTGTGGTCGCGGGAACAGTTTGTCAAGACCCTACTGCTGATTCAGTTTAACGCCAGTGTGACTGTGAAACAGACGCACACCAGTTTGAATAATCCTTGACTGGTCCATCCGGTCACAACCCCTAACAACCCCTACAATGATTGTACTATTCACTTGCACGAAGCATTATCCGGCTATTTTGTCTCTACATATTCGATGGTGTACAGTACTGGTCTGATGAGAAGGACCACTTTGCCACTCTCAGAATGCTCTGACTGAACAATGGGCATATTATGTGATCTATTCTGATACCCTTTGACAAAAATAACGCCATCGTGGAGTTGTTCTGTGGAACCATTTTGTTCCCGTTACGGCGATGCTAAGTAAATGAGGACCTCCTTTATCTTTTTTATCGACAGCGATCGTTTGCCTACGCGTCGTTTCTCTTTGTTCATCATCATCATTATCATCAACAGCATCATCCAGTTCAGTCCGGTTTCTGTGCACGACAGTTCTTGCGATGCATCAGTGAGATGCGGTTCGGGCGAATTAGCGGGTTATTACAACTAACGGAGACTATTGTGAATTACTAAATACGCACCCGTGTGTACTCGGAGGTACAATCTGAAGTTTTTCTTGGTAAAACTAAGGTCCCGTATGAACATTTGTACTGCCTTGATTTTGAATGTATTGCAATTAATATCTGAAATTGATCTCCCGTGCGAGAGTTACTTGAACGGTCATCTGATTGACACAGAATTGAATCACTTTCTGGTAATAATGGGTCGCCAATGTCCTGCGTAGATTTCGTAAACGATCAGAGCTACTGCATCATATTATCCTACCATATGGCTCTTTATACATTTTTCATTTCAGTCAAACTTAATGTTAATCCATATTTGCTGGAATTGAAGCAAGCAAGATCTATTCACGGACGACCTTTCTGAGTATACATTTCAGTGAATGAAAAATGAAATGTTTGAGTTACGCACTGTTCATTTTTGATAGGCAGTAGTTACTCACGAATAATGGTATTGATTATTTTTTAATTTTACGGAAATAGCGGTCATCCTTCTGAGCCAAACAGTTGAAAATATAGCTTCGTTTTTATCTCCACATCTTGGTTGTTAATTTTACGGTATGATTGCGCATTTTTTCCGGCCGAGTTTCTATAAATCATGTTTCTGGCTACAGAATTTCACTGCGGTAACAAAATACGCTAAATATTTATAAAACTTTCTCCCCGTTTTGGGCTCCGTTTCCCCTAAAGAATAAAACGGCGTCACATTGTATGGTATTCAATCACACCGCGCTCTATGCCTACCGGTAGTGCACGCACCACCCAGAATGTTTGGTCAAACAATGACGACTGGCATGGACAAATCCGGTTAAGACTGGAGGTTGACGAAACTACCCGGTGGTCTGTGAAGTCCCAGTTAATGGACATTTGGGGTTTACTGAATAAAAGCAAGCCATTTGATCATTCCTTACCCAAAAACCAAAGCTGAGCACATTAAGGTACAGATAGAAAAACGATTACAAATATCATAATTTACACAAAATAGCAATAATCTAGTTTATCTATAGAAGACAGGAAAACAGAATTTTTTCCAAAATCTACAATAATGAATACGACTGAAAATTAAGCTTTCATTCGGATTAACCGTGTAATTTTCTGACCACCTATCTAATCGAGAGAGAGAGTTGTAGAAATCACAAGTTCATTTCGTCCGAGTACAATAGAAGTTTGTTATGAAAATTGTTGAAGACTGCAGACACACATCGTTTACAGTGATCTTTCAGACTCTCGGCCTCATTCAAATAGCCGATCTCATTCTCATTGGAAACTCTTCGATTTCTTGCTTTGTCTCGTTCTTACGTACAGAGTTCAGGAATCTTCTCAAATGGGAGACTGTTTTCATGTTGTTTTTCGAGACTCTTTGGGTTTCTATCAGTGTTCACTGTTTTTGACTGAGATATATCATATTATATATATACTAGAAGGAAAATTTTGTTCAGTAGTGGCAGTTGACTCAATCTTCCTTTTTACCTTATTACTTTCAGTTTCGTTTAACACAGAAGGTAGCGTTATAATGTGAATTGTACGAGTCACTCAACTGTAGACTTCTGGGTCAACCCTCTGTCCATCATCGATCAAATGCTGCAGGATTGAGCTGTTCAAACTTCTCACTGTTTCTTTTCGAAGAGCGGCCGGACAATGTTCAGATATTCGACAAATGTCTCGTTGTGTACTATAAGCGCACGTGAACTGATATAGAACAAAAGATTGGAAATGATAAGGCAATTTATTTTAAAGAGGTTGAACACTGAATGACTTAGTCCTCGATGAGAGACTTAAATTCGCCGCGGGAAAACAGTTGGCAATGATTTTGGTAACCAAAATTCCAGAATTTCTAATGCCCTGTCTGTCTCCTTTGAAGGGAACCTTGGCCTCTTCATCTTCATTTTCAGTATTACAATCCACTGTCCTAAGAGATAGTACCTATCCATATCAATATTGCTCATTTCCTCAGCGCACAAATCTACTGATCAATGTAATGTCCTATCTGTGCTCATTTCACATTCAGGACCGCACCACAGACGGAACGATACCTGGAACATGTGCCAAACTCAACCAATATCGCGATTATCGACGAGGTGAGAAACCACCGAAATTGGAAGACAAATGTGAACTGGAAAATTTGTTCAACACACTACAAACACGACTTCGATTAGCCAATCGCCCAGCATTTTTGCCCACCGAAGGCAAAATGATTTCGGACATTGATGGAGCCTGGAGACAGTTGGAGAACTACGAGAAAGGATTCGAGGTAAGATTGTGCCTGTTTTTCTATCGCTTCTTCTGATGACAGAAGTAAACCTCCGTTGATCGTGAGTACTGAGCTGATACAAGAAATAATAATTATTAAATGACTAATTAATTCATTAATCCTTTATATGTTATTCGATGTGTTCTTTATCGAACCTGATTGAGAAATAACCACAATCTCAGTAAAAAGTTGTTCACATTTGAACTCAATCATCCAAATTTCGAGTAGCATTGGTATCAGTTTCAGCTTATGCAACCATCAACCGCGCACATTTTTGCAGCAGTTTTGGTTGTTCGTTGGTTGGTTGGTTTTGGTTATCCGTTTGAATGCAACAATAGGACGAATAAGAATGCTAAAAGCAGTATCAGTGTGAAAGTAGACAATTGAGACAGATCAAGGTGGTGTTTCAAAATTCACAGTTTACAACCGCAAATCATATCACACAGTGTATCTGACCATCTATTACGCTGAGACTGAAGTCTGCAACCGGGAAGACTTTGGCGAACTATTTGAACAATTCACCGAGTCAGGTAACTTTTCATACCTTCATGCCGAACCCTAGATTGGCTTCCCACCGCATACTTGCCTTGCCTCAGGAAACACAGCACTTTGATGAAACCTATCAGATGGTATGTGTATCACATGCCCCAGCCAAGGCATTCCCTTCTGGCTTAGGACAGTATCCATAAGCAATAGTGCTCGAGGGTGAAGCAGTCTGGATTTATCTATACGATTAGGCCTTATTAAAAATGATAAAGCTTGTCACACGGATAACGCACATTGCCGTTAAAGTAAATTAAAAGATCACTGATTTGGTGCATAGAAAACACTTATTTCTCTCATTGGATTTTCAAATCTGGAATTGGGTTATTGTTCTTTGTCTAATTGCGAATACGAACGAGCTTGTTCGATGATCACACATGCTTCAGTTGACACAATGCCAATGTGTCCGATGTCATCAGTTGTCCCTCGAAAGTTGACATATTCACATGAATTCCGCTCGCTTTCGGAGATGTCACACACGTGTACAGATTCCATGTAACCTATTTACTGTGTGTCCGTTCATGCTTGTTACGCATTCAAGGGGAGCATAGGCAAATCCAACGACTCTGTATCTCACAGTCACACGATACTCGTATCGTATCCCAATCCCAGTTCACAATCATCCCCCGGATCATCATTCTGGTGTCCTTTTTTGTGTGCACGCGTGGGTTTTGTGTTCCGGGTGCAAATCGATCACCGCGCGAATATTGGATTGTTGTTGTTTCCGGGCCATGGGAAACGAAAAGACTAGCAATCTGTCACTTCATTGTGACGGCTAGGTGAAGGTCATTGAAGCTGTTCAGAATGAGCGAGGTTTGTGCCAGTCAAAACTGCAAAGTTTCTCAACAGTTCAATACCAAATCGCAAACCGTAACGACGAAGAAGACAAATGAGGTTTTCGTGGTTTTCCCGAGTACATTTGCGGTAAAAAAAAAACACATCAGCTAGTTTGGCACAAGTTCATTCTTTGTTCTGTTCTTCTTCGAACAGACGGTCAATACAGAGTTCATGCGTTCGCTTTTTCGTTCATATGGGAACGGGAACAAATCGAGGGATGCCAGTCAGTACAGGATCCGTGCATCCTAGCCAGCCACTATGATCAAACGGATCGGTGCGTTGTCGACTGAGTGCGGTTCATCAGTCATAAACTACACGAAGAGCATTGATTAAGTTATGACTGTAGTAATCAATTACATTTGATCGTAAAGTACTACTAGTATACTGTGCACCGTTTCACTGTTTACCCATGGCTCGTATTGATCCAAGAAATTGGTCTGAATTGTTTGGACCTATTGTATACTGCTGATTCTCTGATCAATACATCATCAGGCTAAACTGTACAAAACAGTGGCATTATCAATCTAATAAGTGAAATGTTTTTCTCTTTGTTGCAAAATGGATACAAATAACCTTTTCACTACTCGTCATTTTATTTGAAATGTGCTCTGGGGTACTGTTTAAACAATTTATAGTTTAATAACATTACCAACCAACTGCAAATCGCTTTTGCATTGATCGCTTTTGCATATGTTCCATCAATGAGGGCGGTCATTTTCAAAGCACTTGGGACATGGCAGGAGAATTGCAGAAAGTGCTTCGTGTGATTTTTCCCCCTTTCATTTGTTACGTCCTTTTATTCAATATACAAAGATATAATATTCAGGAAGGGAGAATAGGCCAATCAAAGGGCTGCCATTCAACACACAATGGTGAATCAGGCGGTGGAGGTGGTGAGATCGAGCACACGTCCTCCGGGGTGATAATTTAGTGACGTTACTACCGGGTCACCAATGCATTCATTATGAGTTCCGTGAATGGCAATTAAAATAATTTGAATTACGAAATACTTACTAGCATTCTCGGAGGTTGTGCAAATAATGCTTTTGTCATCAAGCGGGGCAGAGAAACGTGAGTTATCTCGTAAGTCAACAATCATCTGAAAACAAGACAAATATTAGATGACTGAAAATCAGGGTTCGAGTATTCAAAAAAGCCCCAATGGAGAAAATAGGCAATTTGGTAAGCAAACAGCGGTTTTCCGATATTCCTGTTCATGCTGTTACACATTATTCAATAAAAGAAATACTTAAACAATGACAGAAATTGCGTTCCTTTAAATATACAGGCGTTAGACAATGATTGCAATAATGTGAGCGTTTTTACACCATGTATATGAGAGCATGACTGGGCGTAACCGGAGACAATGGTTCGCTCACTGAATCGTGTTCTCAGTGCTGTCATGAGAATAGTTGGACTTTCGAAAAAAATAAGTAGCCATTTATGGGAACCGACAACAAATTTTCTTTTAGATTGCTCTTAGTTTGCTTATGGGCTCTGAAATCAGCGTTCAGATCTGATCTTTCTCTCTTGAATTGGCCTTCTGAGCACAATACGCAGTGTTGAGCTTGTTGATTTGCTAGATTTTACAGGAGTGTTAGAGCCCCATTGACCCTGTGCATTATATTTTCAACGAAAATCTGGATTTCTTTCTGTTTTGAATACATCTGAAAACCCAATGCTACTACCGAAGTACCACACCTCTAACCCAGGTGCAACACCGGGTTCTGGATAGGGGATACCTTTTTTTGCTGTATACTGAGAATAATTTATGGCTTATCGCGATAGATGAGCAGCCGCAAATAAGCGACAGGCGGTACTTGTAGGATGTGTTGGGTTTCAGACAGGTTATCTGGCTTCAGTTAAAACTCACGTAAACTAGATGATGATGTTATGAAAAAGATTGATATGATCGACCTTTTCGCACTGAAACCACTCATGCTGTCCCTCTACTTCCTAATAGAGGGTTAGTTTGGGGCTCCGGAGCCCCAAAGAACCCCAATGCACGTGTGACGTATGATCAGTGATGATCATCGACAATCATGCGACCTTAGCTGTTGAAGCTGTTCCGCTGCCTTGAGGTCAGACTTTGACTGACTAACCTAGCTCAGGGATGCGGGAGGCGGTCGTGTAAAAAAACATCTGATACGACATGTGCAACTCAGCAGTATTGCCCTAGCAAACAGAACATTGAATTTGGATCATTTACGTACTTTGTGTCGTTCGTTCTGCATTTCGAACGTCTCTACAAACTTCAAGTAATTGGAAACACAAAACCCTTTTAACATAGTTCCTGATGTACCTTTACCGCCTGGCTCCTCTAATGTAGCCACTGAGGTTCACTCAAGTCCCGGCGGTAGACCGGTGACCAGAAAATATCACACCGCAGACGTTGACTTTGAGGAGCCATTTCACACATAATGATCCTGCTCGAGAAGTTCGGGGTGGCCTGCAGAGTTATGAAAGACTCTTGAGGACCCTGGAGTAAATACAAGAATCGTTCAGTCAAATAACCGAGGTCAATCTATCAGACTGGACTCTAATCAACAACCGTTCCTACTCAGGAGGGATTTGAACAGGGTATCTAACAACAAACGTTGTTTATTTGTTGCGTAAACTCACACTAACTGTCCACTGTCCAGAAGCGGTTCTATGACAACCTAAACGACACAAGGGAAGTCAGAAAAATGAGTATCTTAATGGTAGTGGATGACTTCAACACGAATTACGGTAGTATTTCGTTGGAAAGAAGCTAATTCCACTTCATTTACCGTCGGTTATATAATAGAGATAGGCTCACAGCTTTGCATTGGTCATGAGTTGAGTTTGTCGGGCACGTGTCCAACCAAACACTGAATTGCCACGGATTGTTTCCGTTTCTTAGACCTCCGTATGCCTATTCGATCTTCATAAATTCAGAGTTTTGAATCTAAAATTNCTGCTGCCTCTGTAAATTTCGCGAAGATACACATATTTGAAGTAACCCTTCAGTTGGATGGAATGCCAGTTCGCAACCCCTATTGGATGTTAACCAGCTGTTTGTATTTCACTTCTGATATATGGAAAGGGTTTTCCGTATTTGATGAAAGTAATCTATCAGTAATGACCCTGTTATGCAAGCACTGGTCGATCCAGACAGTGCCACGTTTCGTTTGGTAGATTATGGAAGACAGAAGTCGTGAGTGTTGAATTGTGAAAGATGAGTTGCCTTGAAAGGTTCTAAACCACTCACACTTTTCCACAACAGATATTGAAGCAACTGTACTTTTCCGTCTACTTTTGATCGGGCATGTGCTTCGAATGTCTGCCTCTCCGTGCATCTTTGACAAACACTGGTGCAACATGAGCGAAAGAACTTAGAGCACAATCAGGAAGCGTCGCCGTGGAACGAGGCAGCTCATATCATGCGTTCACTCATCTCAATCACCAGATTGGGGTACCCCGAGATCCGGTAGGTTGTGGCCATGACTCCGGCGGTATGCGGTCACAAATCAAGAAAAGTGACAGAAACGTTTCATTTTCTGTTCTTCCTCAAGACCAAATTAAAGCAAGCAACAGCAACGAAGAAATACAAAACACCGGAGTGCCGGAAAAGAGAAACACTTTGCAAATTTCAT